AAGATGACGATGTCAGTAATCCAGTCAATAGCGGTGTAGCAGCTGATGATAATGACGAAGACGCTCATCAGCGTTTGCATAATAGGTCAACCGTGAAGACGAAATAACAAGTCGGTGATGACAGAAGCAACCGAAAGCGAAGATGTAGGCCCCCCTTAGCAACGACGGAGATGTCAATGCCGATGAAGTAGAGGTGCTGGTGATGATGTCAGTGATAAAAATCCATCAAACTGCTCAGAAGATATCGAAGCTCGAGCAGTTTCCTTGGTGCGAGCGTGTGCATAGCAAAGATTGAAGCAATGCCCCTTGATTTATATAGATGGCAATAGAACTTGGTGTTATAGCTGTTGTAGATGCTTCACTTTGAGGAAAGTAGATGCTCTTGTCCAACTTGTCTAAACTGAGCTGATTGGTTGATAACTCCAAACTCCCGAACATGTAGATTAAATCTTGAACTTGATACTTTGAGAAATTTGGAGTAGATTGTGGCAACATCCAGAAGCCAAAATTGTCGGTAAAATTGCTGAAGTAAAATGTCGGCTCTGAAGTGAAGACGAAAATAATAACTCCCAAAGTTGACTTGTTGATTGATTGATTTCTTCATCTTGACATAAAACTTGTCGAATTTTGAGTCTTGTATTTGTGTAGCCCCCGACTCTTTGGTTAGTTGGGAAACAACTGAACATAGAGTCGAGAACTGTAGCTTCCTGTCATCGAGCAGTCATTGCTTGAGTGAAGATGCATGTTGAAGATGTCCGAGTAGAAATATTGAAGATTGGAACACCACTCGTTGTAGTAAAATAATACGGCATTATACTTGTTGACGCATGCCGAGATGTCAAGGCTCTTGTAGACGTCGTGGTCGGCGAAGTAGCAAAGCTTGCGAGGTAGAGGCAATAGAGTTTGCCGGTGCCGAAGATAATAAAGGTGAAGTTGCTCCACCATGGTGACAAAGTTGCATAGCCGTGATGAAGTGAACACGAGTCAGTGGCAACAGAAGCAAACCGGTAGCGAAGACGCATAGTTGTGAAGATAAAAACACCAGTCGGCGGCGGCATAACCAGTTGGCGACGGAAGAAGTAGAATGATGATGAAAACGAAGACGTTCTTTAACAGCGGCAAAATAGGCCAGCCATGAAAGTGAAGACACCATGGGCGGCGCCGAAGGCAAACCAGCGATGACGATTACGCCAGTCAATGATGACGAAGACGCGCAGCCGTGGAGGTGAACAAGCCAGTCAGCGTCAGACAAGGCGGCCAGCAATGAAAACGATGACGTCCATCAATAGTGGTAGCAGTATAAACCAGTCGTAGAGGCAAGGGCACTAGTCAACAGCAGACGAGATGACCGGCGGTGAAGACGATAAGGCCAATCGACACTGCCAGAATCATGCAGCCATGGAAGTGAATAAACTAGTCGACAGCAGACGTAGACAGCTTGCATTGAAGATGATGACGCCTGTTAGCGGTGACGGCGACGTAGCCAGCCGTGAAGAAGATAGCATCAGTTGGCGTCATAACAGGCCAGCCGTGCAGGCGGAAACACCAGTCGGCGGCGGACGAGGCGACCGATCGGTGAAGAGGTAGACGCCCAACAATGGCGACATAATAGGCCAGCCGTGCAGGCGGAAACACCAGTCGGCGGCGAACGAGGCTGCCAGTTGGTGAAGACGTAGACGCTCAACAACGGCGGCATAATAGGCCAGCCGTGCAGGCGGAAACACCAGTCGGCGGCAGATGAGGCGTCCGGTCGGTGAAGATGTAGACGCCCAACAACGGCGGCATAATAGGCCAGCCGTGCAGGCGAAAACACCAGTCGGCGGCGGACGAGGCCAGCCGGTCGGTGAAAACGTAGACGCCCAATAATGGTGGTGTGACCAACCAACCGTATAGGCGAAGACACTAGTCGGCGGCGACGAAGGCAAGCCGGTCGGTGAAGACGTAGGGGCCCAACAACGGCGGCATAATAGGCCAGCCGTGCAGGCGGAGACACCAGTCGGCGGCAGCGAAGGCAAGCCGGTCGGTAAAGACGTAGACGCTTAACAACGGTGGTGTGACCAACCAACCGTATTGGCGAAGACACTAGTCGGCGGCGATGACGGCAAGCCGGTGGTGATGTTCTGACTGATCTATTCCTGGAGCGTAAGAGATAAGCTTAAAGCCATGAATCCCTTTTATGCATATCTGGATCTGGATCCTACGGAACAAACATATAGGATGAGTAGTATCTGATGTAAATATAATACTCAAGGAAAATTCAAGTATTTTAAAATGTTTATAAATATGTATTTCTCCACTTGTCAATTTTGATTTCCCCGAGCAGATGACTCCGTACGTTTAAACACTCTGCCCAACTAGTCATAGCCCCCAAGCATCGGGAGTCGGCCAAGGCACTTCCCAGACATGCAAATGAGTGACATGAGTTCGTCATTAATGGAACAAAGTTTCACGGATCAGAATTTACTACTCGGGTACTTTTGCAATTATAAAGAGCAGAAAATAAATTTATCTTATCTCTATGCTTTTGATTTATTCTGAATAATACTTAGCACCTTGCGTTACTCGGTCCATCCAACGAGCCCCCGGGTGCTAGGAATCGGCCCAAAGGCTACTATCCATTGACAAACCAAACGGAAAGCATAGGAAGATAGAACTCCATAACTCGATAGGCACTTTTGTACTCAGATTATGTCGCAAGCAATTAAGATAAATATTATGAAAATTGTTAAAAAAATATGATATAACATCTGTAACCCCCGACTCACTAGTCAACGGCGAACCAGTTGATGTAGCGAGGCAAAGGAAAAGGAAAATATCATATAAAGAAAATTAATGATGACTTAGCTTTGTAATATTCCCCTTGGTGATGACAGAGGTGGCCAATGTGGGAACAAAGTCGTCCATCAATAACAATGAAGACACCAGTCGACGGCGATGAAGGCGGTCGACGGTGAAAGCGAAGATGCCTACCAACGGTGATGTGACCAACCAACTGTGAAGGCGAGGCCACCAGTCGGCGGCGATGAAAGCGAGCCAGCGGTGAAGATGTAGACGCCCATCAACGGTGGCATAATAGGCCAGCCGTGCAGGCGGAAACACCAGTCGGTGGCGGCGAAGGCTAGCCAGTCGGTGAAGACGTGGACGCCCATGAACAGTGGTGTGACCAACCAACCGTATAGGCGAGGACACCAGTCGGCGGCATTGGAGGCAGGCCAGCGGTGAAGACTTGGACGTCCAGCAGCAGTGACAGAGGCAATTGGCGTGGGTACTGGTTGGCTGATTAATCTCCTATAGTACAAACGCCAGATGCAACCACATATCACCCGACCAATCCATGCTCGCCCAATCTGGTCGGGAAGCTTGTCCTTTTATGAATCGGACTCAGCCGTTCATTAGACATGCCAAAAGACATATCACAAATTAACTTGTGATTAGTGAAAAAATAATAATAGATTAATTAATATAATAGATCATAGATTAGATCAGAATGACTAAAGCAATTGCAAGCTCTAGGGGGCATGAGCACATATGATCGTCAGATCTATACTACACCCGGCGGATTCAAATCTCCAAACAGGAGTAGGGTATTACCTCTCATTGAGAGGGCCTGAACCTGTCTAAATCCTTGTCTCCGCATCCATCTACTTTTAGGTCTCATGCGCTACCCCCTTTTATTATTGCCGAATTCATGTTTCGCCAGCAGCCCTCCGCCTCACCAACGAGATCGGACCGGGCCAACTTTCCGATGCCATCGAACGGCTGGAGTGCGCGAGGCGCCGGGTGGGCATCTCCATGCGCCGGGACAGGAAGCTCCCGCCCACACAACCGGCACTCGCGCTCCGGCTGGACGGGATGGCGGCGGATTTGGAGAGGCTGGAGGAGGAGGTCGGTGAGACCATGAAGTCGTCGTCGGCTTCTTTGGCGTGCGTTGCGGTGGAGCTGGTCCTCGCGAGTCATCAAGCTCGCGACCCTGACTTCCTCCCGTGGCACGCGCTCGAGGACGTCCCCCCGGGAACCGAGGCGATGGCTCGGGAACAAGTCCGGGAGACGGCCGACGCGATCGTCTCCAGCTTCGAGGGGTCAGCCCCTCGGTTCAACCTCGCGCTGGCCTCGGACGAGGAGAGTGGGAGCGAGGACAGTGGTGGCGATGACTGCAGCGAGAACTGGGACGAGGTGGTCATCGGCGCCGGACTCGGGGGCCTGGGCACTCCATGACTATCCCCGTTTTTTCTTCTTTTGTTTTGTTATATGCTCGCGGTGAACGCTTCAAACTTTAGGCCATCACGCCATCCTGCTTGTAAATAAAGCTTTCCCTTCGCACCTTTATGTTCTTGCTTTCTCCTTTGAATGCCTGCAGCAACGAAAGAGGAAAAAACCAAAGCGAATGCACTCAGTTGACTTCCTTGTGATTAAGCTGTCGTTCTTACCCCCTTTATACCCCCCCCTCGGGCTCGTTCTGGTGAAAAAGGGAATTCGCGCTCGGTCTGCGGGACCTAGGTGGCCAGGGGTAAGGCCGTCGCCCCGAGGGAGCTGCCGAGCGGGTCTGGCCAGACCGAGGCTACAACGACCGGGGGTCGGGGATGGCCGTGTGTAGGCCATTCCGAGCCCCAAGGGTTCGCCGCAGCCCGGGGCGCGGCCTGCGATTAGGCTCCCTTTCGGCGGTTTTCAGGTCCCCTAATGCCACTTAGGGTCCAGAGGAAACGCGAATCGTCCTTTAAACCAGGACGAGCCATAGGAAAGAGTAAGAAAAGGCGCACAACGGCCTCTGCTTAAGCGGAAAAAATTATTGCTGAGGAAGGGAAAAGATACAACATATTTAACAGTGGTAGCCCCCGGCCAAGCCCGCACAAGCCAAGGGATGTGTGTGGGTTGGCCCGAGCCCCATGAAAGCAAAAGCGCACCATCCTATGGATAGAAACAGTGGAGGTGTTCGATATTCCAGGGGTTAAGCAACTCCGTGGTTAGCCGAACGGTGCCCGGCCGGGGCACGCCGACCACTTTTATGGTCCTTCCCCCATTGGTGAAAGCTTGCTCAGCCCCAAGCGCGACTGCACGCGGCGTTGGACGAGGTCGCCGACTTGTAGTGACCGGGCCCAGACATGGCGTTGATGGTAGTGCCGCAGGCTTTGCTGATAGCGCGCTGCGTGTAGGGCCGCACGCCTTCTCCGCTCTTCAAGATAGTCGAGGTCGTCGCGGCGAAGATCATCCTGGTTGGCCTCATCGTACAGCGTGACGCGAGGCGAGCCCAGGGAAAGCTCCGAAGGTAGGACCGCCTCGGCGCCATACACCAGGAAAAAGGGTGTTTCCCCTGTGGCGCGACTTGGAGTGGTCCGAATCGCCCACAACACGGCGGGCAATTCCTCGAGCCACGAACCCCCGTGTTTCTTCAGGACATTGTATGTCTTGGTCTTGAGGCCTTTGAGTATTTTGGCGTTGGCTCGCTCGACTTGGCCGTTGCTCTTGGGGTGGGTGGGCGAGGCGAAGCACAATTTGATACCCATGTCATTGCAATAGTCGCCGAACAGCTCACTGGTGAACTGGGTGCCGTTATCCGTAATGATACGGTTTGGCACCCCGAACCGGGACGTGATGCCCCTGATGAACTTGAGGGCGGAATGCTTGTCGATTTTGATGACCGGGTAAGCCTCGGGGCACTTGGTGAATTTGTCGATGGCGACGTACAGGTGCTGATACCCGCCTCGTGCCGCTTTGAATAGTCCGAGGATGTCTAGCCACCAGACCGCGAAAGGCCAAGAGAGTGGGATGACCTGCAAGGCTTGGGCCGGCTAGTGGGTTTGTTTGGCGTGGAACTGGCACGCCTTGCATCGCCGGACCCATTCTTGGGCATCTTGCAACACAGTCGGCCAGTAAAAACCCTGTTGGAAGGCTTTACCGACCAATGTGCGTGACGGCGAATGGGCCCCGCACTCACCCTGATGAGCGTCGGCTATGAGCTCGACGCCTTGCTCCCGAGAAATACACTTCAAGAGTATCCCGTTGGTGGCACGCCGGTAGAGGGTCTCTTCTACGAGCACGTACCGCTTGGAGATGCGCACGAGCTTCTCAGCTTCTGCGCGATCCTCAGGAAGAGTATTTTTGTCGAGATACGCCCGGATGTCAGTCATCCAAACGACCTGACGAGGGGGGTCGGGGTCGAACCCCTCGGTCCCCGAGGCCCGCGGGTCGTCAAGGGTCGGGGCGGAGGTCGTGGCATCGGGGTCCCTCGGGGGATTCAGCCGCGCCGACGGCTGTGCGAGCATTTCCTCGAAGGTCCCCGGGGGGAGTGGGGCTCATGCCAACGCGATGCGCGACAACTCATCAGCGACTGCGTTGTCGCGTCGGGGCACGTGTCGGAGCTCGAGTCCGTCGAAGTGGCGTTCCATGCGTTGCACTTCACGGACGTATGCGTCCATTTGCGGGTCGGTGCACTGGTACTCCTTGGAGACTTGATTCACGATCAGCTGGGAGTTACCTAGGACCAGGAGGCGGCAGATACCCATTCCGGCCGCCGCCCTCAATCCCGCTAGGAGTCCTTCGTATTCCGCCATATTGTTCGTAGCTCGGAAATCGAGCCGAACGACGTACTTGAGGACGTCCCCGCTTGGTGAAGTCAGCGTGACTCCGGCCCCTGCACCTTGAAGGTTGAGGGAGCCGTCGAAATGCATAACCCAGTGCCCGGCGCGAATGTCGGTGTTTGGGTCCTCTCCATCTCCAGGTAGGGAGGGAACGTTGGACGGGACAGGGTCATCCACCGGGGTACACTCCGCGATGAAGTCAGCCAGGACCTGGCTTTTGATCGCGTGTCGTGGTTCGAAGTGCTGGACAAACTCAGCAAGCTCGATGGCCCACTTTACGATCCGACCAGTACCCTCTCGGTTGTGCAAGATTTGGCCGAGAGGGTAAGATGTCACTACGGAAACCCGATGCGCTAGGAAGTAGTGGCGCAATTTCCTTGAGGCCATTAAGACTGCATAAAGCATCTTCTGGGCCTGTGGGTATTGGGTTTTCGCGTCTCGGAGTGCCTCACTGACAAAGTAGACGGGCCGCTGCACCTTTCGGTGGGGCCGGTCTTTGTTGTCAGGGGCAGGTGGCCCGGGGCGCCCGTGCTCAAGGGCCCCGGGGGGGGGGGGTCTCGGGCCTTATCAGGATTATAGGCCTCGGGACCACCCGCCAGAGCCTCCCCTCCTCCCACGGGGGCCTCGGGGTCCTTCCGGGGGTTGGGGGCTTCGGGCGTCAGGCCTTTGGGGGCCGAGGGGCCGTCACCAGTCGAGGGGGCCCCTGGTCCACCCTCATCGCGCTCAACTACCAGAGCGGCACTCACCGCGTGGGGTGTCGCGCCCAAGTAGAGCAGCAACGGTTCCTCTGGCCCCGAGGCTACCAAGATGGGGGGGGAGGTGAGGTAAGCTTTCAGCTGATTTAGAGCTTGCTCCGCTTCCTCCGTCCACACAAACGGCCCGGGGCCCTTGAGGAGCTTGAATAGGGGCAGCGCCCTCTCTCCCAGCCTCGATATGAATCGACTTAGGGTGGCCATGCATCCAGTGACGCACTGCACATCCCTAAGCTTGCTGGGGGGCGCATCCTCTCTATCGCGCGTATTTTCTCGGGATTAGCTTCTATGCCTCAGGATGTCACGACCGGAAATAACCCAACGGGCGTTCCTTACGTGCGTGCATTAATCCTTGTCCCAGGAGGCAAGGTACACCAAAAGTTGATACAATTCAGAGTTTAACAAGCGGAAGCGTAAATAGTTAATTTATTACATGGGCAGCGAAGGCCCAGCACACACAGAGACAAACGAGAAACAGCGGAAGACTAGGGCGACGACCACAGGCACTTGACGGCAGGCACGAGCTAGACACCAAAGCCTTCATCTTCCAGGAACTCCTCTTCTGGGTTTGGGAAAAATCGAGCAAGACTGAGTACAACCACCGTACTCAACAAGACACACCCACAAGTGCAGAATAAATGCAAGGGAGTACAAGGGAGTTATAATATAAAGGGTTAGGGTTTGCAGTAAACAGCATTAAAAGACACTTAGTTGCTCAAAGCTATTTTGTAAACACGATTCTAGAACTATACAATATTATTAAACAAGGCCGTGAACCCACACGAACCTGCCTTAACCCAAGGCCTACGATGATTCAGACCGAACTGGCAACCCGACCCTGGGTCCCAGCTCGCCCCAAGCCAACCCAGGCCAACCAATCCACATTCTAGTTGTTAAGCAGGTTTTAAGAATTAAAACACTAACTTGGGTACATTGCTCGGCTTGCCCATAACCGAGGGCGCGGCTATTCGAATAGATTATACTCTGATCAGAGGTGTACATCTTTACCCACAAGACACATCTTCCTCACGTGCAACCACGTGCCACATACCACCACGGTATACAGACGGAAGACGTGACATAGTTTCCAACCCATCCTAGCCATAGACAAGAGTACCGACCCAATCCCACCTATGGCCGGAACCCCCGGGACAGGCAGGCAGGACTGAGCCCCTAGCAGCAGGACACCGGCCCTGTGCCATGACATCTCGACTACTGGGCCGCAGCTCGTGTAGCCTTCATTTGCCCTAGAGATGTCCATCGACCCCCGACTTCTTCCATCTCCATCCGTGTACTTTTGTTTATAACCAGACTGAGCCACAAACTAAGCCTTACCCACTAGACATGTGGAAGTACGGTAGTGCTTTGCAACAGAGGCCCGAAGACCGGTCCTTATATGGCCGAGGTGCTACTATCAAAACCATGCACCCCGAGCCCAGCCTAAAACCATTTTGGGGGTTTTGAATAGAAGGAGCGGTGTGAAGCCAATTCCACAATAACCAAACCATTCCATAGTGTCCAGGTGATATGATGTCACGTCCTGATAAATTCATCCCGAAATAAAAATCATCTTCTAAAAGGAATAATAGAATTAATTAAAATTCGAAAAGAAATTGGCAAACCCTAAAATACGTACAAGAAAAATTCAAATGTGGCCCGGAGAATTTTTGTTAAATTCTCCTTGGTCTAAAAGGAGCCCTCAAATTTTAGTGGAATTTTCAGAGCACAAATAATAATTATTAAGAAATAAACAAAGTTGAAAAGGTTTTATAAAAAGAAAAAAAACCTAAAAGTCTTCTTTCCCCCCTTCCCTTCTTGGGCCGGCTCGGCCCAACTCTCCCTCCCTCTCTCTCCTCTCCCCGCGGCCCATCGGCCTCCTCCCCGCGCGCGCGCCGCTGACAGGCGGGCCCGCCCGCCGCCCTCGCTGACGGGTGGGGCCCACCTGTCATCGCCTTCCTCCCGCCGCTCCCGCCGCTCGCCCGTGCCCTAGCGCCGCCGCCGCCGCCGAATCCGCCGCATCCCGCCGTCCCCGCGCGCCATAAAGAGGGGGAAATCACTCCCCGTGATTCCCTCCCTCTTTCCCCCCACTTTCCCCTCTCTCTCTCCCTCGGATTCGTCCGGATTCACTCCCGCGATCTTCGCCGGCGCTTCAATGGCGGCCGAGATTTCCGCGGCCGATTCCTTCCCCTCCGGCCGCCCTCTCTCACTCCCAACCCTATATAAACGCTCCCCGTGCCTCCCTCCTCCGTTTCCGACCCTCGCCGCACTCTCTCCCCGTCGGATTCGAGCCCGCTCCGTCGTCCTCTCTCTCCGCCGTCGCCGCCGAGCTCCGGTTCGCCGCCGTCGTCGCCCCGGACCTCCTCCCGCTTCGGCATCGCTTCCTTCGGCTTCGACGCGTCCTCGTCGACCTCGTCCGCTCCTCCGTTTCGCCCGCCGACCGTCGGAGCGCCGCCGTCCTCGTCGATCCGAACCGCGCCGCCGCCTCTCGCCGCTTCGGTCGCCGTTTCCGTCACCGCCGTCGACCCGGGGTGAGCCAAGGACCGCCGCTTCGCTTCCCTCTTCTCTTCTCTCTCTCGGCTGCCGCTCCGCCGTGCCTATGGCCACCGCCGGCGACCATAGGGGCGCGGGCGCGCCGCCTCCCGTCGGCCGTGCCGGCGAGGCCGCCTTCGGGCGCGCCCCGCGGCTGCCAGGTGGGGCCCGGCCGTCAGCCGCCCGCGCCTTCGGTGCGGCTGACGCGTGGGACCCACGGCGCCGGCCGGTGTCAGCCGCGTGCACCCGGTCCACCGTGGACCGTGAGGCTGCCGCGTGGGCCCCACTCCCGTGGACCCGGTCCACGCCCCCCCCTCGGCTGACGCAATAAATCCGATTTTAAATTAAAAATTTAAATGAAGAAATTCGTAAATATCCATTTAAAGAACATATAAACTTCAAATGGCCATATCTTGACCATTTGAACTCGGAATTGGACCGTTCAAGTCTCTAATTTTTCCTTAAGAAGTCAAGAACCCATTTTTGTGCTTTGTTTCTGCTTGTTATATGGAGTTTAGTAGAGTAAAAGCCTTTTCTTTTCCGTTGGTCGTGTAGACGCTGCAGCTTCGGAAGATCCGCTCTTCGTGGAAGTTGAAGCCGGCGTTTGGGAAAGCGAGCAAGGCAAGTCACATCATCTTTGAACATATTGAATCCTAGTTTGTAAAATTATGTTGATTTAAATTATTGCATTATCGCTTTATTTAAATTCCCGCGCTATCACTGTTTTATTTAGCCATGCCTATTTACCTTTGTTATGACCTTATTATTGTTATTGTTATTATTACCTTGTTCACCCTAGAATAAACAAAACCCCAACTAGTGGACACTCTACTCATGGTACCACTAGTATGATTTTAGGTAGATGCTTCGCTTTTAATTAGGTAACATTAGGCGGTTTTACAACCCTAGACTTTGGGAATATTCACATCTGTCACACCCTGAAAATTCAAAATATATAAATTGTTGTTTAAATGGAATTTCTAGAATTTATTTTAAAAGTCTTGAAAAGAAAATCTAAGTTTAATTAATAAATTCCAATATAAAAAGTGGCCAGATAAAATTTCATTAAATACTTTGCTTAATTCTATAATTCCTAGATTTTTCTGGGATTTATTTGAGCTAAGGAAGTATTTTTAATAAATGGAATTGCATTTAAGAAATAATTTAAATTGAAAAAGTTTTAAAAAGTCTTCTTTTGGCTTTGGGCCGAAAGTCGGCCCAAAACCGCCTTCTCTCTCTTCTCGGCCCAGTCCGGCCCAGTCCGCAGCC